GTGATATTTGCATATAATGGATAAAATGGAACGAAGTAGAGATATATGCTACATCTTAAGCACTGAAAACATGTTAAGTTGAAAAAAGAAAGTCATAGGCCAGCCAGTGGTGTGGTGCTTACAGTGACTAGAACCCACATGGCCAAGTGCATGGTTTAAGTCCTGGCCTGGTGACTCGAAAACACCCCAGCTGCGTGTACATGTGCATCCAAAATCCCGAGAGGAGGAGGAGAATGGAGAAGGGACTGCAGCACGGCCACTTCCCGAGGGGTGATTTAACTCTCTCTCTCTTTTTCCCTCACTGGCAAGCACATGTGACCTATGACAAAACTAAAAAACAAAGAAAAAAAGAGCCACAAAAGGCTTCCTATTATATAATTCAATTTATATGAACTATCCAGGAAAGTATGTAGAGGAAGAAAATACACGAGTGGTTGCCAAGGGTAGGGGGGTGGGGATGGGGGAGAAATGGAGAGTGACTGCAGTTGAGTATGGGTTTCTTTTCGGAGTGACAAAAATGTCCTGGAATTAGATAATGATCATGGTTGGACAAATCTGTGGACACACACACATACAAACACAGAACTGTATACTTTTATTTTACATTTGCTATAGGACATGTGCACTCGCACAGGAGGAGTGAAGAAGCACCTCTCTCAGGGTGGATGGTCACGATGCGCTCCCTTCTCCTCCATTCTCCTCTTAGCATTCTGGGCTATGTGCACTTGCACCAGCGTGTGTTTCCAGCCTCCAGGTAAACACTCGAACCAGGCAGTTGGCCATGTGGGATCCAGCCAACGTAAGCACCAAGCTACCAGTTGATCCAGAATTTTATACTTTAAAGGGGTAAATTTTATAGTATGTGAATTATATCTCAATATAGCTGCTATTAAATATGTATATATAACACACCAAAACAGAGACACACAGGAGGGTATTTCAAAAAGTTTGTGGGGGACCAGCAGTTAGCGTAATGGCTATGTCGCTGGACTCCCACGTGGTCGACCGCGGTTCACGTCCCGGACCCAGTGGCTTGAAACTCACGCCGGGTGCATGTGCGTGCGTGCCTAAGATCCCGAGAGGAGAATGGAGAAGGGATTGTGGCGTGACCATCCCCCTAGGGGGTGATTTCTCGCTTTCTGTCTCTATGTCTCTCTCTCTGTCTGTCTGGCGAGCGCACGCGCCCTGTAGCGAAAAACCTCTCCAAAAACAAACAAACAAACAAACAAAAAGTTTGTGGAAAACAGAATTAAAGTCTGAATTTATTTTGGTTCCGAAAAAAAAAAAAAAAGAATTTAATTCATGCACAGTTATTTTCATAATATGTATATAAATATATTTTTTTAGAGAGGTTTTTGCTATAGGGCGTGCGCGCTCGCCAGAAAGACAGAGAGAGACAGAGAGATAGAAAGCGAAAAATCACCTCCCAGGGGGAATGGCCACACCGCAATCCCTTCCCTTCCATTCTCTTGGGATGTTGGGCACGTGTGCACACGCACCCACTGTGAGTTTAAGCCACCGGGTAGGGGACTCGAACCATGGTCGACTACATGGGAGTTCAGTGACATAGCCATTACACTAACTGCTGGTCCCCATAATATGTATTTTTCATTAACCTTTTTAAGATCCCCTTCCATACTATACACACTAAAATCCCCAATTATTAAAAATAGGAATATATAAATAGGTAATTCAGCAAAGTAACCAAATGGTCAAGCAGTTTTGCAAAACCTTCAGTCTCACTAGTAATGAAAATATACAATGAAAGAATGAAGTGCTAGTCCCCTCTTTAAATTAGCAATTAGTTTTTGAAATAATGAAGCAACAGTACAGTAACAAAGATATTCAACTATGGCTCTATCTTAAGGGACTAATCACATATGTAGATAATTAATAAATGAGATATTCATTACAGCATTATTATAATGACCTTGTAATGGAGAAATGGTAATTGTGATGATGACATTTTCATAGGATCCAAAAAACCCACACGACATTCAAAAAATACATTTTGGAAGACTACAGTTTGGTTAAGTTAAAAGAAGCAAACTACAACTGCAGTAAGCTATATAGCCTCGGTTAGGTGCTACTTCACAGTATGTTCAGTCTGCTCACTGAGTTTTCCGTCTAAAGTCAGACGTGTTCACAGATTTGCATATGTCAGCTGAACTTACTATTGAAAGTATTTAGATTAATTAAGATATTCTGTGAATCAATAAAATGTATGTGGGAAAAAAGGCATGGAAAGCAACTGCAGATACCAGAGACTATGGGAGGAGTGTGGGTATTGGCACAGGATGAGAAGAAGGGAATCAAGGGGGAAAAAGAAAACAAGAAAAAAATATAAGAAACTAGAAAGGGAAAATTATTTACTGATGATAACGTGTATGGTAATATCCTTGATTAAGCCAATATACAGTGTATTCAGGATGGGAAATAGCATTTTGTATGTTGTGATGATGTACAGTGAATGAATGTAAAATAAATCTAAAAGAAAAAAACAGAAGCAAACTACAAAATTAAATGAGGTGATCCTAAATTTCTGAGCAACACAAGAAACAAAAAATTTATGTATACAAAAAAATAAAAAAAGAGTCAAAGAAAATGTACTCAAATATTAACGGTGGTTAATCTCCATGGGCAGTTATATTCAAATCCACAAGAAAATGAGAGGACATCCAATTTTAGTCAAATTAAAGGAGCTTTTCAATTAAGCCGGCGACTGTAAGAGGACCTGTGTCACCCCAAAACCTTGCAGCCCCAAACCAGAGAGGAGGAAGGTTTAAAAAGGCAAAAGGAAAAAAAAAAAAAAAAAAAAAAAACACAACCAACTATGGCTCTATCTTAAGGGACTAATCACATATGTAGATAATTAATAAATGAGATATTCATTACAGCATTATTATAATGACCTTGTAATGGAGAAATGGTAATTGTGATGATGACATTTTCATAGGATCCAAAAAACCCACACGACATTCAAAAAATACATTTTGGAAGACTACAGTTTGGTTAAGTTAAAAGAAGCAAACTACAACTGCAGTAAGCTATATAGCCTCGGTTAGGTGCTACTTCACAGTATGTTCAGTCTGCTCACTGAGTTTTCCGTCTAAAGTCAGACGTGTTCACAGATTTGCATATGTCAGCTGAACTTACTATTGAAAGTATTTAGATTAATTAAGATATTCTGTGAATCAATAAAATGTATGTGGGAAAAAAGGCATGGAAAGCAACTGCAGATACCAGAGACTATGGGAGGAGTGTGGGTATTGGCACAGGATGAGAAGAAGGGAATCAAGGGGGAAAAAGAAAACAAGAAAAAAATATAAGAAACTAGAAAGGGAAAATTATTTACTGATGATAACGTGTATGGTAATATCCTTGATTAAGCCAATATACAGTGTATTCAGGATGGGAAATAGCATTTTGTATGTTGTGATGATGTACAGTGAATGAATGTAAAATAAATCTAAAAGAAAAAAACAGAAGCAAACTACAAAATTAAATGAGGTGATCCTAAATTTCTGAGCAACACAAGAAACAAAAAATTTATGTATACAAAAAAATAAAAAAAGAGTCAAAGAAAATGTACTCAAATATTAACGGTGGTTAATCTCCATGGGCAGTTATATTCAAATCCACAAGAAAATGAGAGGACATCCAATTTTAGTCAAATTAAAGGAGCTTTTCAATTAAGCCGGCGACTGTAAGAGGACCTGTGTCACCCCAAAACCTTGCAGCCCCAAACCAGAGAGGAGGAAGGTTTAAAAAGGCAAAAGGAAAAAAAAAAAAAAAAAAAAAAAAAAAACTACACACCTAAGAAAATACAGGCCTTGAGTTAAGCGAGAGAGGTTTAGAAAAGCCAAAAAAGCGAGTTATTGGAAGGACAGTTATAACTGGCTGGACAGTTATAATTGGCTGCATCTGCTGGTGATAAATTTTCAGTTAGGAAGACGGGGACGGATGGCAGCATTCATGTGCTGGTGGTTAGGTACACAGTGAGGAATTTTCAGGAGACACATCAGGTCAGATTACAGGGAAAGGAAAATGGCAGCCACATCATATTCAAAATGGTGGTGCTCATGCTTCACAGCCTATCTCACTTTTATGACCTACAGATTATAATTTGCCAGATGAAGATAAAAGAAAAGCCAACCATTTGTGCCAAAGGCAGAGAAAAGAGCAGATCTTCTACGACCCTCTGGATGTCCCCTACCAGAGAGAACTTGGAAGTGAGATCATTATTTTCAAGTGAGGGGTACAGAATTTCATAATTACAAGATGGTAAGTTGACATGAATTCTAGGCAAGATTCTAAAACTGGTTCTTGAATGAACCTTTCTTTGAAGGGGTGATAAGAGGACAGGTGTGTCAACTGGGAGATGACTCCAAAGTGGGAGCACTAGTGAATCTGCTATCAGAATCAGGATCCTGAGAGATGGCTGAAGTCACTCAGCAGTCACATCCAGTCAGTCCCTGGGCACAGTGGTTAAGCCCTATGCATGGAAAGCCAGATTCCACATGATGAACACAGTTCAAATCCTGGTGCTGGTGGCTTGAAAACCACACCAGGTACATGTGTATGCATATCCAAAATCAAGATAGAACAGAGAAATGGAGAAAAGGGGATGTGGCATAACCACGTCCTACCAATGGGTGCTTTCTCTCTGGCAAATTTATGCACCCTTTGGCAACTTTTTTTAAATAAAAATGTCACTGGCAAATGGCACAGCGGTTATGTTGCTGGACTCCCACATGGCTGACAGTGGTTGGAGTCCCAGACTTGGTGGCTTGAAATTCATGACAGCAGTGTGTGCAGACATGCCCAAGATCCCGGGAGGAGAATAGAAGAGGTTACGATGTGGCCATTGCCCCACATGGTGATTTCTCACTTACCCTCTCATTGTCTCCCTCTCTCTTTCTCTAGTTAGTGTATATGCCCTAAGGCAAAAGCTTCTTAAGATAAGTAAATAAATAAAATAAAAAAGAAGTCACATTCACCTAGCTTGGTTTCTTTCTTGAATGTGAAAACAGATGAGGTGATAGACATCAAACTCAATCAACAGTGGATGGTCCTAAACTGAGAGAAATAGCAGATGTAAATCAGCATTCGAAACAGAATAAGGAATTATACTTACAGCAACAGCCTAACTCCAGAGCAGTAACAGTCAACATGTAAGACATTATCATTCAAAGCCAACTTGTAATGAGAACTAATTTCTTTCGAGGTTGATGAAGGTGTTCTAGAACTGGACAGTAGTGATAGTTGCACAACATTATATACTGACACCACTGAATTATATTCTTTCAAATTATTAAAACAATTCATTTTGGCCCTGTCACAGTGGCACACCTGGTAAGGCACCACTGTGCAAGGCTAGGCAGACTAGGAGGACCAGGTTCAGTTCCCAGATTGAACAAGTGAAGAGAGGTGACATATACTTTCAATCTTAGCTACACAGAAGAATGGGACAGATCCCTATCTTCCCTCTTATTAAAAAGAATCATGAATTTTGAGAACCAGCAGTTAGCGTAATGGCTATGTCGCTGGATTCCCACGTAGTCAACCGCGGTTCACATCCTGGACCCGGTGGCTTAAAACTCAAGCCGGGCGCGTGCGTGTGCGTGCCCAAGATCCCGAGAGGAGAATGGAGGAGAAGGGATTGCAACGTGGCCATCCCCCCTGGGGGGGGTGATTTCTCACTTTCTGTCTCTCTGTCTCTCTGTCTGTCTGGCGAGCACATGCGCCCTATAGCGAAAACCTCTCCAAAAAAAAAAAGAATCATGAATTTTTGGACCAGCAGTTAACGTAATGGCTATGTCGTTGGACTACCATGTAGTCAACCGCGGTTCGAGTCCCAGACCCAATGGCTTAAACTCACACTGGGCGCGTGTGCATGTATGCCTAAGATCCCAAGAGGAGAGGAAAATGGAGGAGAAGGGATTGTGACATGGACATCCCCCCCGGGGGGTGATTTCTTGCTTTCTGTCTCTCTGTCTCTCTCTGTCTTTCTGGTGAGCACATGTGCCATAGAGCAAAAACCTCTTCAAAAAAAGAAAAAAAGAATCATGAATTTTATATTATTTATCTCATTAGGAACTATACATGGTCTTCAAAAAGTTCATGGAAATGGATATTAATAAAAAAAACTGTTACAGATTTCTAAATGTTTTTGATCATACTTTCCATTTTTTCCAAAAGCTTTATGAAGTCCCCTTGAATAATCACCATTTATACTATAATATATACATTATTTCAGGATATGTAAAATTCATTGACATCTACAAATTCTTAACATTATTAGAAGATTCGCAATACGGTCAAGTATGGGTACAAGGCATAAAAGTCCTGGATTATCTAAGCAAATTCTAAAAACTGAAGCATTAAAAGAACTAGGGGCCAGCAGATGGCATAGTGGTTACGTCACTGGACTCCCACATGGCCAATTGCAGTTCAAGTCCCAGACCTGCAGCTTGAAAATCACTCCGGAAGTGTGTGTGTGCATGCCCAAGATACCAAGGGGAAAATGGACAAGAAGGGATTATGGTGGGGCCATCACCCTTGGGGAGGTGATTTATCACTTTCCCTCCCACTGACTTTCGCTCTTTCTCTCCCCAGCGAGTACATGCACCCTATGGCTAAAACCTCAAAAAAAAAGAAAGAAAAAATCAGGTGTAGGTACATGCCTCACCAAAATCCCAAAAGGAGAGGTCGGGGAGAAGGGACTGTGGCATGACCACCATTATGGAGAGGGTTTCTCTAGCAAATTAAAACACAACAATCAATCAATCAATGCACTCCTTCAGTTATTAATTTCCTGCATGCTTACTTGGCACCGAGCATGGTGTCAGTTACTGCAGATACAACATGACATAATCCCCACCCACGCAGGGCTTCTAGTCAAGAAGGGGAGCTTGACATTGAACCGACAGCTCTCAAAGAAACACAACCAACTGATGAGGTGCACAGGGGAAAACACAAGGCTCTCTAGTGAAGTATAAAAAGCAGATCTGATTTAGATAGGGGAGTTTGGCAACAGCCTCTCTGACGAAACTGCACTTGAAACTAGAAAGATGAGAAACTTAGCCAAGGGAGGAGTAAGGATTAGTACCTCCAGATGGAAGGGCCAGGCAAAAACCCTGGGACAGAAAATCACTTGTCACACTTGAGAAACCTAAGGAGGCGGGGCGTAATCGGAAAGCAGTGAGTAAGAATAAGAAGGGTATCATAAAACGAGGCTGCAGAAACAGGAAGGGTTGGAGCACAGGGCCTGGTAAGGCATCTTGGGGATTCTCACTTTAAATCCTGGGCACAAAGGGAAGCCGCCTGAGAATGTTAGCCGGGAAGGAACATGGCCAGTTCAGAGCACATAAAAGCATCACCAGGCTCCTCTGTGGAAAGGGGTTAAAAGAGAAAAAAGGAGTACCTCAGGAGACTAGTTAGGTGGCTGTAAGAGAAGACATTTTCAAGATTTGTTTTGGAATTTTGGAGGTTATCCCATATTCTATTTTATAATTCGAATGTACACATATGGGAGAAATGCCTTCCAGAAAGAACAGAGCGAAAAAAGCAGAGATTACTTAGCCAAGATCCTAGACATATTAGCACAAATCCAGTGCCAAACCACACCCTCACATCACTTTGAACGACTTTTACGGACCCTGAAATCTTTTCATACAACCATACCTGAACCCAAATTATTCCTATGTTTCCAACAGAAGAATTTCTTACCAGCAAGTTTTCAGGGTGATAAAAGAAGCCAAATGGTGAGGCAAGAAAGCAAACTTTCACTGCAATGAGTAGAGGTAACGCTTTGTGTCTTACATTCAGCCAATAGCCAACTAACTTGTCCTTAGGATAAAGGATATTTTCTATATATATCTATTTAGAGAGAGGGGGAGAGGGGAGGGGAGGGGAGAGAAGGGAAGGGGAGAGGAGGGGAGGGGAGGGGAGCAGAGGGGAGGAGAGGAGACAGACACACCATTCTGGGAGAGAAACACCCTGTCTAGCAATATGCTGTTAAAGACTTCAGTTAAACACACACACACACACACCCATTAAGAAGTAAGTGCAAAGCATTCCAGATTATTCACGTGCATCTGTCTCCTTAAACTGCTCTCCAGAGACTGAAGCAAAGCATGGAGGCTGAGATGGATATTACACAAGGCACAGAAGATAAGTGAATGGCTGTCACTGTAGCAGGGAAGCCACCTGCACACGTTTCTTTTCCTCTTCAAATAAAACCTTGCTACTCAGATGCTTAAGTATTTCTTCAACCCCACAGTGGGTCAGATAAACAAACTTTGTGTATGTGCCTTATTAACTCGGGATGTGAATCCAAAGAAAAGCTACCTATGTGGTTCTCCTAGTGTATAATGAAACAAATAATAAAGGTGCAGATGACTATAATATAATTACCAACTTTGTGTTTTATACCATGTATCCTTTCAGTAATCTTTTCCCTTTTTCATTTAGACTGAAAAAATGAATGTTACACTTACAAATGTAGAACAAGGGCCCCGACGTGTGACCTAATGGTTAAGGCAGTTGGATCTCACGTGGCCAACAGCAGTTGGAATCTAGAATCCAGTGGCTTGAAAATACATAATAGGGCACGTGTGCATGCCCCAAATCCCAACAGCTGGAGAAATGGAAAGGGATTGCAGAGTGACCACACCCTGCTGGGAGAGGGGCTGTGCTTTCTCACTCGCCCTCTCTCTCTCTGTCTTTCTCTGGTGAGTGCTTATAACCTCCGGCAATTAAAAAAAAGATCTTTAAATATATATATAATATAAAATTAAAGGAGGATTTGGTTGCCCTCAAAGAATCATTTATTTTATCACCTATTATTTTCAGCTTGAAGCTGTCATTATTTAATAAGACATGGATTGACACAACTACATGCCAGCTGTCACAAATGCTCCTGGTTCCCTTGTCTCTTTCCATGTAAGACTCAGCTCTTCGAGGGCTTCCCTTGTCCCTTAGAGAGAGCTGATCTTCCATCCACTCTCTCTGCTCCACCCAGGGCGCCTGGCCCACATCTCTATCATGTAGTGACACAGTCACGGCTGCTCCTTCTACTGTGAGTTCCTGGATGCTTGATGCGCCCAGCACTGAAGCCTGGCACATGAAGGTGCTCAAAGGTACATGGGAGGAAGCGAGTACATGAGTCAGACCCATTCAGCCTCTATAACTTCAGAACTTTTCCTGCCTGCCTTCTCCTAAATGTTAATGACCCTTCAATTCAATGACACATCAGACAAATCTCCATCTCCTCTCTCTACCCCCTCATTTTTTTTTCTATTTCCAGATAGAAGAAGATTTCAGACTTGAAGCTCTGCAGTGTTTAGAGGCTGTTAATGAGAAACAGTTTGAAGAATAAATGAGAAATTGCATGCTGCTCAGGTTTACACAGATAACTTTGTACTGGGTGAGCACGGATGCAGAATAGAATAGGCCTTTATGCCCCAGAATTCATATTCTGTAATAAAATGACATCCAGTGCCACAGGCCATGTCACCCTATCTCCTTGCAATTGATAACCACATCGGATTTCATTTTTGCAAAGGGCCCCTTCATCATGACAAAAGAACTGGTGCCCTTGGCAAGGGCAGAGGGAGTCTATGAGTTAAATTTGCCATTCTGGAATCAATTATTCAGTACCACTCAAACCCTGAAAGCTTTGAGCTGCCCACCTTGTGGTTTATGGCACTGACTTCAGAGTTTACAATTTCCTGATTGTGAAGCAACAACTTAATTCCACAGCACAAAATCAATAGACTTGAAATTTACTCTTGGAGCTGACAGGCTCCAGCAAACTAAACGATTTATTTTTCCACTGACATGAGATCACTTTAAAGCTGCTTTTACAAAGGGGTACTCAGGAATCCTTCCAGAATTTAGGAACGAATTCTTCTTGCTGGACATAAGGAAAAATAACTGATCACCTCCTCCCTCTCAAAATGAGTAGGACTGCCGAAGCTTCCTGAGCTCTGGCCCCAGGGACCTAGTTTGGACCTAGGGTCTGTCAGGGGGCCAGATTTGGAATAGGAAAACACTCTGCAAATGCAAGGAGCTGGGGGGGATGTCACAGGAGGTAGCCAATGAGATTAGAAAACACATCCTTTCACCATCTTAGGGTTTTAATCAGACAAGAATGTCTATAATCGTTTCGGTCTAAATTTTGTTACCTGTGCAACTACGAATAGGAAGGGTTGGGAAGAGGTCAACATTTGCAGTGCTATTTAACTGGACAGACCAGGGACCTTTTGCTAAGTGGCAAAGGCTGGGGCTGTTTAAGACACACCAGTGCATGAGTCTGTAAGGGGCACCCTCTCCCCTAAGAACTTAGACTGGAAAGGTCTGGAGCCACCATCCAACCTACTGTGACTACTGACCCCCAGCTCTGCGTCAACCACTGGCAATGCGAGCCTGAGAATGGGGAAAGGGAAGGCTGGACTGGGAGGGTCTGACCCCCCCCCCAATTCAACAAGCTTCTAGGTGCATATAATCTATCTACACTACACGTTTCTTGCACCTGCCATTGAAAGGGTTACTGCTCTTTCTATTGCTCCGAGAAACCAATAGCTTAAAAAAAAAAAAAAGAAGGCCAGAAGCAAGCGTTCATCATCAGCCCTCCCACGCACCCCTATGTCCACCGCGCATCCCAAGGACAAGAGGTTAGCTCCAGCAGTAGCTGAGGCTAGGCCCCTGAGGCAGCAAAACACACCAGCAGCCCGGCGCCCGGAAGATGCTCAGGCGCTGTCTGCTCCGCCCTCGCCCGCGGTCCAGGCTTTGCCGGCGCCCAGCAGGGAAGTCGGGCCTCCAGCGCGCTCAGCATCCCTCCTCAACCCACGCTGTCCGCGCTCGAGCCACCAACCTTGGGCGTGCGGATGTGCTCCATGGCGGGGCTCC